GTACGTAGTAGTACGTAAGTAGTAGACGTAGTAGTACGTAGTACGAGTAGAGAGAGTAGAGAGAGAGAGAGAGAGAGAGAGAGAGAGAGAGAGAGAGAGAGAGAGAGAGAGAGAGAGAGAGAGAGAGAGAGAGAGAGAGAGAGAGATGGGGTATACATAGAGAAGGGGTAGAGAGAAAGACTGAAGGCGGAGAGAGAGAGAAAGGGAGGTGGGACGAGAGAAGGGGTGAAGAGGAGAGCAATTGCTTGCCCGATAGAGGGATTATTTTCTTTGCTTAAAATGCTTGAAACGACCCCCACCCCAACAAACACCGGAAAAAAGAAAGAAAAGGGGTCTCATGGAGGATCTTGGAGCAAGGAAAAGTTAAATTACTTTCCTGAATGAGGAACCCAGGATACCATGACTCAAGGAATCTGGTGAATACCAAATGGAAGAAAATATCATAATTCACAGATTTGGGATATTCACGGGAGGTATCCTCCTATCAGAAGGGCCCTGAGGGACTTGTCTTGAGTTTCATGTGATGACTTACTTATATTAATGAAATGTATATTAACTGCAAAAAAACAAGGTTTAGTGGATGTAGATTTGGTTGACAGGGCTGATGGTGAGCAAATTAAAGTGTGCTTCACTCCTTTGTTTCTCACTGAGGGAAAAAAAGCACTTAAAGTTTTTCACCGTGTATCTTAACCTAGATTATATCTCATGGTGCATCAATGTTTGCCCTTTAGCTATTCTCTGCATTTGATACTGCGACAATCCTTTGTTGTTGTATTTCTATGCTATTAGATTGCTCATCAGAAATATAGAACATGTCAAATGGATGACTTCATATCATCCCCATCCTGTTCAATCATCATCAACTTTTCTAGAAAAGAAGATAATGAAAGGAATATCTATTGATTTACTATCCTTTCAAATGATGAATTGTGTTGCTTGAAGATGTTGGGTGCACAATTTGCTTATAAATTTACTGACTACCTTGGGCTGCTGTCCTGATTGTTTTTTATCGTGACATATTGAGATTTGTAAGACTCTTAGCAAGTCTTTTGTAGGATGATGGTTCTCAAAGTTCCTTTACCCTTTTGGTAAATTTCAATGTTTTAGAAAAGGGAGGTGGCTGCCCCATTAACTAGGTTCCCTGACTGAAGGCCATTTGGGGTGTGTGTGTGAGCAAGCCGTGTGCATGCGGATACATGTGTGTGTTTTTTTTTTGGGTTGGGGGGAGGGGCTGATCATCATACTCCCAGCCACTTTCTTACTTGCAAATCACCTTGAAGCAGTACTCGCTTCTCCCATGTAGCTTGCAAAATCATCATATTCCTTCCCCCTTGTGTCTTGTGACACATCATCATACTCCCAGCCACATTCTAGCTTGCAAATCATGTCAAAGCACTGCTCCTCTTCTTCTTCTTCACCAGGCACCCAGGTGCCTGCCTAGGCGGGTACCTAGAGCCCTCTCTGCCCTTAGTACCCACCTGGCCCTAGGTGATGTGCCCAGGGCCTTTGGCTACCTTGGCGCCTGTGTGACTTATTTTTTGAAACATTGATAAAATCAGATTCACCGGTTTGCATATAAGTCTACTTTTTAAGAGTTTCATTTCCAAGGCCTTGTAACTATGCTTTTGGCTGAGATGACAAGATGCTTGTCATCAGCATTACAATATTGTCAACATTGCTTAGAAGCACTCCATACCCTGTTTGATCTTTTTATGTTTCTTCGTTTACTGAGAAGCATACACTCTATATGATCTCTTAAAGAAGATTGGAGTTATATTTCGATATAAAGTTATCTGATTGATGCATGCATTGGAAAGCAGTGAGATGAGTTATATTGCTTCATTCCATAAACGATGTGTACATGCGAGTCCATAGCCATTTTTTGAATATAGATAAATAATTTGTTGAGTTTTCAAACCATGTTTAGTGGATGGATGATGGAGAAAGTCAAGGTGACAAGCTTTTATAGACCTCTTCATGAGGTGGCAA